CTTATGCGAGAAACCCTCAGCAAACAGCATACTCAGTAATGAAAGACTGAGGTGTTTCCCCTGAGATCAGGACAAGACAAGGATGCCCGTTTTCCTTACTGCTATTCAACATCGTATTGGCAGTCCTAGTCAGGGCAATTAGACAAGGAAAAGACTATTTGTATTTGTAAAATTGTTTTTAAAAATCAATGTATTTGTATACACTAGCAATGAACACTCTAAAAATGAAATTAAGAAATAAATTCCATTTATAATAACATACTTACCAAGAATACTCCCCAAGGAAGCACAAGGCTTGTACACTGGAAACTCAAAACATTGTTGGAAAAAAAATTAAAGACCTAAATAAATGGAAATACATCCCATGTTCATGGATTGGAAGACTGAATATCATCAGAATGGCAATATCCCCCCAAATGATCTACAGATTAAATGAAATGCCCAGCAAAATCCCAGTGTCCTTTTTGCAGAAGTGAGCATGCTAAGATATGTTAGTTATATGAAACCAGAAACCACCAGCTGCCACGTTCCATAGAAGGACCTCAAAAACATTGCATATTATCAAGAGCATATGGTGTGCCCCAGAGAGGTGTCCTCTGTGGGCAGAGCTAAACATAGGAGATGCTGTTCCCAAACTGGGCTCCCTGGTAGCAGTGGGGACGTTGGGTCCTGGAATAGTGGAGGTTGGGCAATACGTGACTATCAGAAGCAAGACGGACAATTACCACAATAGGCAGCAAAGTCAGAATGGCAGCCAGGGGATCTGACCCTCAGGTGTCTATGGAGATGAACTTGGTGAGAACTTGGTGTTTCTAGGGCAAGACAGATAGGCAGCTAATACACAAAATCAGAATAAGAAGACCGAGGCAACCATCCCAGTGGAAAGTCCAATCTCCCCCTTTGTTTCCAGATCTGAGCCAGTTTTCAGACCCAGAACCCTGGTCCAATGGAGCTGCACGCCTTGGCAAGAGTGTACAGTGGTAACTTCTCCAGTCTTTCCCAGCAGGATTTGTGGTCGTTTACACAGTAATTATATCTTGGGAAAAGGAGAACCCCCAGGTCTTTCAAGGGCTGTTGAACACAGGGTGCAAGTTCACTCTGATAGTTAGGGACCCAAAGTGCCACATGGCCTTCCTGAAGGAGAAGAAGGGTACAGGGACCATTAATAAGTAAGGTCCTGGTCCTGGCCTGTCTCGGTGTCCACCTGGTGGTCACTCTTCAAATTTCCAAAAGCCAAGGACATTGGATACCTTGAAAAGACACTCTGCAGTGTAGGCAGTAAACCCTAAAAAGATTCAGACACCTGCCCCACTGGTGTGGGATCCAAGCTCCTGTGGCGTGGGACTTACTGGGGTTTCTCCTCCAAAGCGAAGGGCAAAGCACTGCATCTCGCACCCCCTCCCACCCAAAAGGACGTGCAGTGCCCCTCTGCTTCTTGGAGGTAGCATGTTCTGCACTTGGGGATACTGTATCACATGGGGCCCAGACAGGAAAGGACAT